GATGCACCGTGTCCACTTGGGGATGGGGAACGCGGTGGTGGTGGTGATCGTACGGAGCCGGCAGAGGCACGGGCATGGGCGGCGGCGGGTAGTAACCCGGGTACTGGTAGTACTGGGACGGGTTGGGGTTGGGGTACTGGGGCGGGTTGGGGTTGGGGTACTGAGACGGGTACGGAGTCGCCGCTGCGAATACGTAGCGGTTTTGAGAGATTTCGGGCTGAGGTGGGGCCGGAGGAGGCGGAACAGGGTGGTTTTGGCGGGAGGCGTGTCTCCGGCGGCCGCCGTTGTTTCTGCTCCCGCTGTTTCCCATGTTGGGTTAAATTTTCTTGGGAATTTTCTTGGGAAACAAACAGATTGGGGCTGGAAAATCAAGAGCTGTCGTCAGACAGGTTGAGAAGATGTGAAAGATTGGAACTTTGATACTGTATTCTCTTGGTTTTGGGTTCTTCTGTGCGTTGTGAAGTGAAAGGGAACTTTGGATGGTAACATAGAAGTTATAAAATAATAAAATACTTATTTTAATTAATTAATAAAAAATAATATAGGATAAGACTGTAACAAGAAATAATAATAATATAAAATAAATAAATAAAAGAGAAAGAGGAGAAAAATAGTTTCCGGATTACAAGTCATGTGATATAAAATAGATGTACAAAAATATTGATACGTAACCTTCCTAGATAAAATAACAAATTTGAGTGAAGTAGTAATAACATGTTAAAAATGGGATTTTTAATGGATTTTTTGTCCCCTCAAAATTTTACAAAATGTTTTATTACATTGAAATATGAATTGACATTAAACTGTAAAGTGATAAAAAATTCATAAATTTTTATATTTCTAAAGAATTTCTTTAGCATTTTTCATTTACTAAATTTATATATTATAATTTAAATGAAATAATGAGTTCTTGAGCGAAAATTTGATGTGAGAGAGAGAGAGAGAGAGAGAGAGAGAGAGAGAGAGAGAGAGAGAGAGAGAGAGAGAGAGAGAGAGAGAGAGAGAGGAATCTTGATTCGCTTTGTTATTGGATTTTGGAATGGTTGGGTTGGGAAGAGTGGGTGGGTAATGGGATTGCGTAAAGCACCACCCAAAGGCACCGTTCATATTCCATATACCCCATGACATGATGAAAATTGCGACTAGAAAGAAGTGCTTATGCTCGACAGCTAAAGCTAACACCTTTTTTTTCCTTTTTTATTATTTGTTTTTGTTTTTGTTTCTAACGTGTACGTATCAACATTATTAGATTGTATTATTCGCACGAATTAGACCAAGAAAAATGATATGATCATGGATTCATGCCCGTCAAAAGGATGTCCTTTCAGCCTCCCAACAGTCCACTATGCTACTACTTATGCTAATGTCGTCACCATTTGATCTAATGTCATTCAGTTTCAATTTATTTGAGATGTCATACATTTAGTCTTGCGCTGCTCAATCATTAGTGTGTCAATGTCTGAGTTCAAATCTTAACGAAGAAATCTCAATGAATAATAAAGTTGGCTTGGGGCTTGATGATATGCCTTATTTTGCTTGCCAAGTTGCTGTTTATAGGAAGTAGTGAATGATGATGTCATTTTGTTAGCATTGGAGATAAGCCTTACTAAGAAGTAAGACCAACTCTATCTCTCTACCTCTAAACTGAATTGCTTAGTCTATTAGTACTAAAATGTTATTTTTTTAAATAATAAAAGTTAATTTTATATTTAATTTCAAATAGAATTTTTAACCAATTATGTCACGCCATTCGGATGCAATTTTTGCGAATAGATTTTCAAGTAGATTTTTAACCAATTTCATAACGTCATGTGTTTTGATTTTATAGGAATTTTGTGGATAGATTTCCGATAAGATTTTTATCCAATTTTGTCGCGCCATATGTCACTATCTATTTAGAATCCTTGTGGATAAATTTCAATAATTTTTTTAAAACAATTACGGCGTGCCATGTGACAAAATCAAAATGTCTAATAATCATTCTTCATAGTTTATAAATCTTGAGTTCTTACAATGTCTTCTTCAAGGATGTTGTTAGAAATTGATGAGTGAGAGAAATAATTGTTCAATCTCAAGGAAGAAGAAAATGAGTTGTTCGAAATGGAAGAGCAAGAGGATGAGGAATATGATGAAGTAAGAAGTGAGAGAGCCTCACACATCGTCGTGTCATGCAAACTATGGGGGTAATCTCCAGACCCAATCGTTTCGCAAACCTCAATAAAAAGAGAGAACAATGAGGTAAGGATCTCTTGAACAATGAGGCTAGGGCAAGTAGCCAAAGGAAAATGAAACATAAAGGGAAACTCAAGTGGTAATATTGTAAAAATTCTACTGTGTTATTGTCATTTGTATACATTGGAGTTTTTTACCATTAAATCTTTACCAACATATCTTTGACCAAGAATATTTAGCATCAAATAAAAAGTTCTTAGCATATTAAAAAATTTCGATTATTGTGTTTTGTTTTTTTTTATTGTTGAAATTGTTTAAAACCCATGTAATAATAATTTATTGCTAAAGCAAACGAGGAATAATTGTTTATGTCTATGTGGATGACTCCAATCTATATTCCAAATGTGTGTTTTGTTTGCTATCCACTCATAGTGGGTGAGACATCTTATTAACCCGAATAATTTAAAATGTACTTAAAGTGACCTCATAATACCACGTGGTCGTGAACTATATTAAAAACTCAGAGATTACTAAAGACAGCAAATGGAAAATTACAGATATTTCATTATCATCATGCTTTCTTTGTGTAAGAGAAAAGAAAAAAAAACCTCCACGCATGAAGCATATTGTAGTAAATTAGTAGAATTTGAGGTCTTTTTTTTGGGCAAATGAAGTGTAATTCCCACTTTACAAGCAACTGGGCAGTCCAAGTGTGTCCCCAATATTAGCGTGACTCATACATACATGATCCAGTTGTATATGCATACATAATCTTTGTGTGATATTCTTTTTTCTGTCATCCGTTCAAGTTTAATAATTTATTAACATATTTCAACACTCTAAAATAAAGTTCAGGTCCTGTTTAATTAATCTTGTTTGGTCTGTGGGGATGATGATTTTGGCTAGGGTTTTTTTAATTAAAGTGAAGAACAAGACATTTTAGTAATCATTTTGCTTTTTTACTTCAATTCAGGTGAATTGATAAACAACTTATATGAATTCAATTTCATTCATATTTCGATTCCAAACATTTATTAAACAACTTCCAAAGGAATCTGATACTGATTCCTCCTAATTCCATCTCTTTCCTCATCAATCCATTTCTTTCTATTTTGATTACGGTTACGTAAACAAGCCTAAATTGTACAACAAAATGCACAATGACCAAATTGACTAAATAAAAATTCCAGACACTAAAATAGGATTTGAGCATAGACAGTGACCAAAAAAGTTTTAACCCTTTTGTTTATCAGCTTTATTTTTCGGCCTTTTTAAGATGTCCACTCTTTTTACTTTTAGTAGAGTGATAGCATTGATATGTTAAATAGTTAGTTTGTTAAAGGGGAATGAGAATCGGTGGGAATTGAATTCGCACTATAGTGCATAGGCATGATTGATATTCACCACTGCGTTAAAGCATCTTGTGCTGTTAAAAAAAGTCCTTGGATTCAAACTATTGAATATTATTTCCCAACATGAATACCTTTCATTTTTGTCCATTGATTTTTTGTTTTGCTTTGTTGAAATGATGAAATCTATCTCTATAAAGAAGATGAGGTGAAAAATAATGTGCAAAAATTGTTTCGAAAGATAAGACCATACTTTTATTAACATGAAAATATATACAAAGACTGCTGCTATAAATGTATTAACAAATAAAAGTGATGTCTGTGATGTGTTTCATCTGTTTCATCAAATGGTTAAAACTCAGTATTCCTTTGATGCTAAAGTTTTGCATTTTGACAATGGTGGAGAGTATATAAATTTTGGACATCTTGGTTCTTACAAGATCATAGGATTGTTCATGAAACTACCTGTCCTTAAACCCCAAGATTTACACATGCTATCACGCCCCTGATCCTGAGATACATCGAGGATCGATACATGACATCACCACGTACATGTTTATCTATCATGCCTTGCCTCTATGACATGACCAAAACCAAATCAACGGTTCAACATCATAGTAATTTTTTTTTTATATCATGGTTGCATCTAACCTTTGTGTTAGATTGCCTTCCTACCCTAAGAGAGGATCAAGCTATTCATAGTTTATCATTTTGTTAACCTCTGAATATTTCTCAAGGCATTTACTGGCAAGCAACATAGAATTCTAGACAAATGCTAACATGCGTGAGGCACCAATATGTTAATTCATCATTCACATGTATCACAACGTTTTCCTTCAACAAAACCACAATCAACAATATATAACATTACAATGATGCACAATATTAACCTTTAGTCACATTGATCAACCAATCCGATCAAAATAAAAATCATTCATAACCTTACATTATAAAAATTATAAATAAACTAGCTGGAAATCCGGAAGTAATCACACAATATCCATCGTCCTTTCTAAACCGGTTCACAAAGATTCTCAAATCTTTTGTTGATAAATATGCTAAAAACTAGGGCAAGAGCGACACAGGTATAGATCACTCAATAGAACATACACAGGAAGGGATTCTGGAACACTCAACGGAATCTAACAAAGCAGGGTACCAAACCACTCATGGTACTGACAAGGAAAAGGATTCCAGACTACTCAATGAAATCCGAAAAGACCACTCGATGGAAACGAAACAAAGCAGGGTATCAGACCACTCAATGGAACCCGACCAGAACACGGTTCTAGATCACTTAATAGAACTGACACGGGAAGCGATTTCAGACCAATCAACGAAATCCTAACAGAACACCGTTCTGGACCACTAAACGGAATCAAGACGAAGTAGGGTACCAAACCACTCAACAGAACCCTAACATAACATGGTTCTGGACCAGTCAACAAAAATCGACACGGGAAGGAATTCTAGACCACTTAACGGAATTGAGACAAAGTACCAGATCATTCAACGAAACATGGTTCCTGACCACTCAACAATACTGACACAGGAAGGGATTCCGAACCACTCAACAAAATAATAACAGAACATGATTTTGGACCACTCAATGGAATCAAGACGAATCAGGGTATTGGAACACTCAATCGAACCCTAGCGGAGCATGGTTCTAAACCACTCAATGGAACCGATATGAGAACGAATTCCAGACCACTCAATGGAATCCGAGAACATGATTTCTCTGACCACTCAATAGAATCGAGATGACGCAGGGTAGTGGACCACTCAA